TGCTTGTACTGTGATCTATATATATACCTGCATGTTTGCTTTGCTAGGTAGAGATCACTGTACTGTTTGTGTTGCATATATGCCTCTGCATGTGAACTGGCCTTGTGGCCCTTTGCTTGTGCTCAGAGTGTGTGGTGACGTTGTGATCCACCCTGAGCTTGCTTTGCCTTTCTTGACTGGTCTTGTGACCCCTTGCTCTCCCCCACTTTGCCTATGGGGGTGTGTCAAATGTTATATCTGCTATAGTTGGTTAGGCTGTAGTGGGGTAGTTACTATGGGGTACAGTAAGTTAGGGTTTCCTACTTGTACCCAACACTTTCCTAGTGCAATCACTCTTGTTCATTCTAACAGGTACGAGCGACCTCCATGACTAGGCCAATGTGGCGCTCAGCAACCCCATTCTGCAGCGGAGAGGCCGGAAGCGTGAACGTCTGGCGAATGCCCTCCCCACGACAAAAGTCCCGCAAGAGGTCGGAAGAAAACTCACCACCTCTGTCAGAGTGCAGACGCAGGACGGGAAGGTCTGTCTCGAACCGCTCGCGGAGCTGGAGACAAACAGCGCGGATCCAAGGGATCATAACATCAGAGACCTCCCCCTTGCGGCGCAAGGGGAAGACCGTGGTGTAACGCGTGTAGTCGTCGACAACCAGCAGAAAGTACCGCTCGCGGCCCTGTCCCTGGACGTGGGTTGGGCCCCACACGTCCAAGTGGAGAGTCTGCAGGGGAGCAGTCTTTGGGGGAAACGATGAGGAGTGAGGAGCGGCGCGCTGCCGCCCCTCGACACAGGGAAGGTAGGGAGGGGCAGGCGAGGGTGGGAGGGGAGGCAGAGACCTGGGAAGACCAGAGACAAGAAGGCGAGAGTGCATGCCACGGAGGCGTGGCAGAGAGGGGTGACCAAGGCGGTGGTGCCAAAGTAGAGTCTGGTGCGACAGGGCGCGACTCGAGCAGGAGGCTGCTAGCTGACCTGACGCGGACGCAGACGCAGCTACCTGAGGAGGCGCAGTCGTCAGTGTGTACAGGCTCGACCCAGGCCGACGGGTGAACGTAGCCAGGTGACGGCCCGTCCGTGCAGATCGCGACACGCTGTCCCCCAGGAGTAAAGGTATTATCCCATTCATCCTGAAGGACGGCATTGCTCAACAAGTTCATAGAGAACGAGGGGAGGTGAAGACCTGAAAGTGAGCCAGATGGAACCGCCGGACACGGGAGAACAGTGGAGGAACATGCAAGAACCGGTCCCCCAGAGGGATCAGCCAGAGAAACAGCAACCGGTGCTGCTAGCGGTGTGACTGTGGTGCTGTCGCGAAAGAAGCAACGGGAAGCACCTAAGTCAAGCGTGAAGGTGTGCAAGCCCTCAGCAGGTGCAGTACCAGAGGGAGCAGACTCACCAGCACCTAGATCAGACTCACCACCACCTAGAGCAGACTCACCAGCACCTAAAGCAGCAGCCGCTATACCAGGGTCGGGCGGCACACACAGGTAACAGTCACCCTGAGTACTAATAGACAAAGCATACATGGCAGTGAGGATAGTGTCATAGTCTAGAGCAAAGATATCCACCTTGCTCCTAAGCAGCTCTAGCCAGCGGGGGAGCTCAGCCTCGTCGCGAAACACTGCACGCCAGGCGTCGCTCAGACAGGCGAAGCAGCGAGCCTGTGTATGACCAAGTGTCCCGCAAGTCAAACCAGCCCAATCACCTGTGCGAATGACGTACGGACAGCGGACAGTACTCCAAGTCCCCCCACTCTGAGCGTACCACTCACGAAGCTGCTGGGGCGTAAGGGTCTCGCGCGGACGCCGCTGCAACTGCATCTGGCCACCGCTAGAAACTCCACACTGAACAGCTCCACTGCGACTACTACTACGGTCGCCGCCACCACACCTACTGGCGTACCACTCACGAAGCTGCTGGGGCGTAAGGGTCTCGCGCGGACGCCGCAGTAGCTGCATCTGGCCACCGCCAGAAACTCCGCACCGAACAGCTCCACCGCGACTGCCACGACGGGCGCCGCCACCACTCCAGCTGCTGTCACCACCGCCGCCACCGCTCCGACCGCTACCACGAAGAGAAGTCATAGCGGGCCAAGTAAGGAGGCGTGCGACCAGTAGGGCAGTACGGAGGGAAGGCAGTAGCACGAGCAGCAGTAGCAGCAGTAATAGCAGCAGAGCGGCTCAGTGAGGCTAGGCTGCAGCACCTCCAGCACTCCTAGCAGTACCTCCACCAGCAGCAGCAGCAGCAGCACGGTGGATCGGGTTGGGCAGGGCGGCTCGGGCTGGGCGGCGCGAATCGGCCTGGGCGGCGCGGGCAGCAGGGCGCGCGCTGTGCAGGGCAGCAGGGCGCTATGCGCGGGCTCCAGCAGGGCGCGACGCGCGGGCAGCAAAGCGCGGCGCGCGGGCTGCAAGAGGGCGCGACGCGCGGGCTGCAGCAGGGCGCGACGCGCGGGCTGCAGCAGGGCGCGACGCGCGGGTTGCAGCAGGGCGCGACGGCGGGCTGCAGCAGGGCGCGATGCGCGGGGCAGTAGGGCGCGACGCGCGGGCTGCAGCAGGGCGCGACGTGCGGGGCAGCAGGGCGCGACGCGCTGGGTGCAGCAGGTCGCGACGCGCGGGGCAGACGTAGGGCGCGACGCGCAAGGCAGCAGGGCGCGATGCGCAAGGCAGCAAGGCGCGACGTGCGGGTTGCAGCAGGGCACGAGCTGCAGCAGGACGCGGGGCAGAGCAGGGCGCGCGCGGGGCAGCGCGACGCGGGGCAGGGCAGGGCGTGCGCGGGGCAGCGCGACGCAAGGCAGGGCAGGGCAGGGCGCACGCTATAGGCGCAGCGCAGGGCAGGGCGTGGGGTAACGCGGTAACCGCAGTCGGTCACTAGGTAATGGTGGGCCCGAAAAAATACGGTCCTACGGATCTACTGCTCTGAAACCATGTTAGAACTATGAGTACGAAAGAAGAACAGCAGAAGGGGGGTTTCACTAGCAAGCAATGGGATACATATAGCAAACCCTAACAGGGCTGTACTCACTATGGAGTACCCCACTGCAGACTAGACAAATATAACATTCTGACACAGAAGTCCATGTTTTGAGTTGTAAAACAGGGTTGCGCATAATAACGAATCACGAGGCTGTGACACAATGAACTGACAATACAATCAAGGCACGTGCTAATATAGTGACTAGCCTAGCTAGGAGGGAACACCGGGGATGCGAGGTTGGGTGCAAGTTTGGCAATTGGAAATTTGAAGGCGACGCGGGGCAGCCTCGGAATCGTAGGTGTCGGCCGAACGTGCGAAAGTTCGAAATGTCGGGGTTGTACGCATAGCAGTCAACCCCGGTAAGGAAAAGGAAAATTCCTTACAGTCCAGGTTCGGTTCCTCCCTGCTAATTTGATATTTTATATTTTATCGGCCCTGATTTGATATTTTCCCTATTGAGAGTGACAATCTCCAATTTCAGGGCGCGTCCCCTCCCTCGATCGATCGCGAGATCGCTGTGAAAAACCGACCGGGCACACTGATCGCAGGATTGGGGGGCGGGATTGGTAGGAGGTGACAATCGCGGATCGATCTCGAGCCCAGGGTGACAGGATCGAGAATTCAAGGGGGGAAAACTCTCGATCCTGCCAAAGCCGAGATCGGTGTGGCCACGAAGGCACATCGATCTTCATCAGCGGAGGTGACAAGATCGTTAGACACCAGTTACTATACACTCGCAAGCCATCTCGAAATATTGTTACCCTGTCAATTGTGATGCTACAGGGACATTGTAGCTCGATCGATCGAGGGAGGGGACGCGCCCTCAAGGCAGTTCATGACAGCGTCCGTTTGCGGTGCTTCCTGTTCGAAAGTTGTACGACTGTGGTTCAAAACGCGATAAGGGGCATGGTTCGCTACGGTTAATAGTATGCTAAAAGTAGAATTGTGCCGCGCTATAAAGCGACTCCCAACTTCCTGGCTGTCACCTTAGCATAGACTTCTCAGTCTCCCACGCTGTGACCGCATCGCCTTATCCTCGCGAGTACGTCAACGTATGCGCCGATGAGCCTGTCGCCTTCCACCTCGTCTGTTGGCAGCATCTCGTGTGTGCCAGCGCCGCGGGTTTCCATCTCTCCGAGTTTCGACGCCTTCCAAGGCGAGCTACCTCTCATGCGTCGTGCATTTCGTCCCGCTGGCCTATCTCGTGCACCCCGTTCGCGCCGCGAAAGGGAAATGCCTCGCGATAAAACCATCCGAACACCTGTAGCGTCACGCCACGTGGCGCCGCGGTTGAGTCAAGTCGTCAGATGGCGAGCACCCCTCGCGGTTGATTGAGTCCGTCGCGCCGCGGCTGGTCACTCGAACGTCGGGCTACGAGGAGCTCTGAAGAGTTCTCAGAAGCGCGCCACGCTGCGACGAGGAGTCACGCAACGATGCCCCGTGCCCGTCGCTCCCGCCGCTGCTGGTAGTCGACGCTCCCCTGGAATTGCATTCCCCACGCCCCGTGCCCGTCAATCCGCCTTGCACCGCGCACCTCCCGTCTGACTACACAGCCGCCGCCTGGAAACAGTGTGGCGCGGCAGCTACTCGTGTTGCGGTCGAGACTCTTTATATTCTTGCGCGTGGTTCCGTAGTGCCGCGAGAGGAGCACACGAGCCTGGATTAAGCTGAGCCGAATCTTCTCGAGGGCACACAAGCCTAGTCATCGCGGGGTCAGAACACAGCACACAGCACACAGCCCTCAGTACTCAGCAGCAGCAGCAGCAGCAGCAGCAGCAGCAGCAGCAGCAGCAGCAGCAGCAGCAGCACGAGCCGCAGACAAGCATTCGCCATGAGCGCATGTGCTGCGTCTGCCTTTCAGGGTTGCATCGGCAACCTCAGGGGCTCCGTCTGCCATGCCTCCCACCGTGCAGCGCCGCCCCACCGCGCACCGCCCCTCCAGGTACCACAGCAGCAGCAGCAGCAGCGCCTGGCGTGTGGTGCCCTCCGCAGTCGCGCGCCTCTGAGCTTCGCTCCCTCGTGGCACAAGAACGGGATGTCGCGTGGAGGGTGCAGGGCGTGCAGCGGTGTGCGTGTGCGAAGCCACGGCAGCAGCTCTGCCTCTGGGGATGATGGGTGGGCGGACAATAGTGAGCAACCCTCGCCTGTCCCTCCTGCTGCACCAACGTCCCTTGCTGCCGCCACCCCTCCTCTGCCTGCTCACCTGGCCGCCACAGCCCCAGCTGCTTCCCCTGCTGAATCTTCAGCCCCTGCTGTTCCTGCTGCCACTGATGCCGCTCCCACGCTGGTTGCATTGGCCACTGCGCGTGCTGCTGTGCCGCCTGCACTGGCCGGCAAGCCGCCAACCTCAGGCGAGGTGCGGCAGCAGCAGGCAGCAGGGGAGGCGGGCAAGGCAAGACCGGGCGAGGAAGCAGCAGAGGAGGGGCGAGCGAGGCGGGCAGAGAGGGAGCAAGTGGATTGGAACAAGGCGTGGTACGCGGTGGGCGTGATCGCAGACATGGACGCGAGTCGGCCGCACGCGCTCACAGTGGTGGGCCGTCCGCTCGTGCTCTGGCGGGACCCCTCCCGAACCTGGCGCTGCTTCCTTGACCAATGCCCCCACCGCTTGGTACCCCTCTCTGAAGTGAGTCTTGTGCCCGCACCGCCTCGTGCCCCTCTCTGAGGTAACTACTCACTGCCCCACCGCCTCGTGCCCCTCTCTGAGGTGGGTTCATTTCTTCACCCCGTGCTCCCCGCCTCTCCGCATCCCATCCACTTGCCCTCTTCCACCCGCTGACCTGCATGCACAAGTCCGGGCGGCTGTTTTGCCCAACCTATCACCTCTCACTCCCTACTCTCCCCTGCTTTGTGCCCAGCCAGCCATCTGCCACACCTTCTCCATGTGCGTTTCCCGCCTTGTTCCTCTGTCCCCCTCCCCCTGTCCCCCTACGTGTGGCGTAGCCTCGTGTGGGCGCCAGGGATGTCTGTTTCCCCGGCATCTCACCCCCATCTTTCCCTCCGCCGCCCCACAGGGCCGCATGGATGAGAAGGGCCGCCTGGCGTGTTCGTACCACGGGTGGGCGTTTGCAGGCACTGGCGCGTGCCAGCTCATCCCCCAGGCGCCCCAAGACAACCCCGGCCAGCCCCCCCGCGCCCTCTCCTCTCCCCGCGCCTGCGCCACCGCCTTCCCCACCAGGGAGTTCCATGTGTGTGTTTGCACATGACCTTTGTCTAAAACGATACACCTTCCGTTTCGTCTTACATGGTCTATGTTGTCGTCTCGTCTTCAATCCAAGCTCTCCAGACACGCTTGCACCTGTTGACTTGACCCTGCTGTGCCGACTTCAACGTCCCCCTTAGCCGCTTTCCCTACCTCATCTCCTCTTTCTCCCCTTCACCCCACACCCAACCCTACTCCCACTCTCACTCACCCACACCCCAATCCCCACCCGCACCCCCACCCCACCCCCGTGGCAGGGCATTCTCTTTGTGTGGCCCGACAGCGCCTCTGTGGAAGAGGCGGAGCGCACAGCCATTCCCGAGCCCGAGGGAGTGGACTGGGATGCCTTTGACGTGGCGCTGTACGCGCGGCGCCTGCCCTACAGCTACGAGATGCTGGCGGAGAACTTTGCCGACCCGTCGCACCTCTACTTCGCGCACCACGGCATCGGCCCGCTGCACCGCGACCAGGGGGCGCCCATGAAGGAGATCAGCATGCAGCGCGTGGTGAGATGAGATGAGGGGCTAGTGCGTAGTGAGATGGGCGTGCGGCGCATGGGGAGATGAGTGTACGAGCCGTGTGAGGAATGGTGTGTCTCACACCAGTTGCTTCGCTGCCCATGACAAATGCACGCCGTTTCACATCTGACTTGTGCCCGCCAGCTGTTTTTTACCACAGCTGGAGAAATACTTCTCTCGCTTTCAGCAAACCTCTACAACCTTACCACTTTATACTGATGAGGAGCGTGTGCAGTGCGTCATGCAGTGTATTCCCCATTTCTTTTGAAATCGCCTCCTTGTGAGAGTCGATCCACCATACTTTCATCGTTTTTACACCCTCTCCACGTTCCCTACGCATGAGCTGTCAGACCAAGGAGGGCTTCCAAGGCACCTTCCACGATGCTTCCTCGCCTGCCACCTTCACCTTCAGCGCCCCCACCTTCATCTGCTACAACCGGTATGCAACAGCTCTGAGCATTCATTGTGATCGCTTCACTACAAACCAACTGTCTTGCAGCATGCGACAGCCGTCTGTTGCTCACACTGAACCGCGCTTTTAAGCTGGCGTGTGCATGTCCTGGCGCTCCACTAAACCCACCGTCACACTGCCTCGCAACTGTCCTTCCTGTCCCATGTCAGTGCTCTCAGTGCTCTCGTATCGATGTATTGAACTCCGCAACTGTGCATACGTGTGTCACCACCTGCAGCACCCTCGCTCCACCACCAGCGGCAGCAACAGCAGCGGTGGCAGGGGCAGCTCCACGCGCGCCCACGACGGTGCTCATCTGCCTCTACATGACGCCCATGCGCCCGGGGGAGTGCCTCATGATCTTCCTGCAGGCCAACAACGAGGGTGTGGTGAAGGGCACCAAGAAGGGTGGCAGTGCTGATGGCAAGGGGGTTGAGAAAAGGGCGGTGCCAAGGAGGAAGTCGCTGTGGGGGGAGCAGTTTGCGTCGCAGGCGTGGCGATCGCACCTCTTCACTCACAATGTCTTTGACAGTACGATGCCTTCCTGCCCTGCTTGCTTCTCCTGCCCTGCTTGCTTCTCCTGCCCTGCTTGCTTCTCCTGCCCTGCTTGCTTCTCCTACCCTGCTTGCTTCTCCTGCCCTGCTTGCTTCTCCTGCCCTGCTTGCTTCTCCTGCCCTGCTTGCTTCTCCTGCCCTGCTTGCTTCTCCTGCCCTGCACCGTGCCTTTCATGCCTGGGTCTCCACCTCACATCATCAGGCAGTCATGCGTTTCCAGACATAAGTGCCCCACACATTTGCCATGAGTTCTAACTTCTATATTACATTTTCCTCTGTACCTCTCTGTGTGTCCTCCTTTCCTCTCCATTGATCTCCACCTCTCCCCTCCCAATCCTCCCTCCCTCCCCATCCAGGTGACAACTACTTTCTGCACTGCCAGGACATTCTCGTGGGCCACAATATCGAATCTATTGCCGCCCGGCATCGAGGTGCTGCCATTGCCAGGGCAGGGGGAGGCGGGTTGACAGAGCAGGAGCAGGAGGAGGTGGAGAGGGCAGCTGAGAGGGCGAGCAGTCGGTTCTGGCAGTCGGAGTATTTCCTGCCTGCCCCGGCTGACCTCTTCGTGGTGGCCTTCCGCCAGTGGATGGGCTCGTATGCAGGTAGGCACATGGCGACAGATGTGTGTTTGTTGTATCGCCAAGTGCCCTACATGACAGAATGAAGCGTGTTCTACCCAAGCAGCCATTGCTGCCTACTCCATGCTGCACCCTGCACTCCTCTTTCCCCTTCCTCTTTCAGCCTCTATGCAAGCATGTTGTCCCTCTGTTGGCCTGCGTCAGCTCTGCACGCACTCCCTTCCCACATAGTAAGCACACCCATTGTCTCTCCCTGCCTCCGCACCTCATCCAACAGGCGGCGCGGTATCTTTCCCCCCAGGCTATTCCCTGCCCCCCCAGCCGCTCCCCAAGGCAGTGGTGTTGGACCGAATGGCCTCCCACACGGCACACTGCACCTCCTGCTCCTCCGCCCTCGCCTCCCTGCAGCGAGCGCACCTGCTGCTGCCCGCACTCTCTCTGCTCGCCGCTGCTGCTGCCGGTGCTGTTCCCCTAGCGTTTCCATCCGCCTCTGTTGTGTTTTCTCTTGTCCTGCTGCTGATGTCAGCAGCGCTAGCAGTAGCTGCCTGGAAGGTGCACCAGCTGATCCCGCAGTTCATCTATGTTGGCTGGGATCATTCCAAGACCTAAGTGGTGCCTCACGCACGCTTCGTACCCTATGTCATTGCGCAATATCTACTTTGATACCCTTTTTGCTCACCGGTATCTCTACTGTTGTGTCACGCGAATACGGACTATTCACGCTACTGGTAACACTAGTGAAGGGACACATGATACACTGACTACTACGACAATAAAGTAATACTACCAACACTTCATTGCAATTGATCTCTGTTACTAGCACAAAAAAATCAACCATCGATACCATACCTACTAGTCTCCTGTAATTCATAAAAGTCACAAAGATTCATATCACCAGCCCACACTTCACAGCATGAGTTAATACCCCGGATATAAGACCCCCTCCAGTTGTAGCGGGTCTATAATACGGAGGGGGGTACGCTAAATTGGTCGTTTGTAGTTATACCCCCCTATAGGGGGGCTAACATTATAAGACCCCCCTAGAGAAGGGGTTATTTCATAGGTGAGAAATGCATTTCTGACAGTTTTCCTACTGCTTTCTACAACAGATCCCACAAAATGTTCATTCAAGAAGGGCTACAGTCAGTCACCAAGGCACAAGCACATATACTCATCATCCTGCCCAGCAACCCACTCCTCCACCTCCTCCCCGTCAAATCGCCCTTCTGCCCACCACTCGTCCTCATCGTCCCATCCCTGCCCAACACCCACCTCCTCTTCCGCCTCACCCTCCTCCTCCTCATCGTCCTCCTCGGAGTCCTGGAGTCCTCATCCTCCTCGGACTCTTCCGTCTCGTAGTCCTCGTCCTCCTCAGAGTCCTCCTCCGCCTTCCCCCCCTTTGCAGCTGCCGCCACCGGGGCGGCATTGCCGTCCTTGTCAGCAGCGTCAGCAGGGTCAGGGTTGAAGGGGTTGGGGATGAGCTCGTCCAGTTCCTCCTCGCACACATCCTCCAGCACCTCCACCTCGGCCGCGTCCCGCAGGTGAGCGTGGATCAGGTGATCCTCGCTCCCGTCAACGGCGGTGGAGATGCCGCAGGTGAGGAATGCTTTCCTCACCAATTCCTCCGGGATGTCAACCCAGGACTCGTCAATCCAGCGGAGCACCTTATCCGCTGGTGGTTTCTTCAAATTCCTTGCAGGTTGAGGCAAGGGGAGGGGTATTCAGTGGGGCGGGGGAAGACATCAAGCAGTAGACAAGGGGCAGACGGTACTGCTCAATAAACTCACCTGCCGGGGTGGTGTATCCGATCCCCTCATCCTCGAACCACGTGGAGTAGCGGTGGCGCATCCCGGCCTTGAAGCTACGGTTCACCGAAACGTCCAGCGGTTACAGCAGTGACGTGCAACCGCCGGAGATCACCGCGCGCGTGAGCTTGAATAGCTTCATCGTTTGGCCGACCGCTTCAGTGGTGTGGCCTCGGTACGAGTCGAAGACGAGTAGCGCATCCTTACGCCGTCCTTCCTCCTCGCGCAGCGGCTTCAGAAACGGCACGAGAACATGCGTTGTCCAGTCTTGGACAAGTTGCTCGTCCATCCAGCCCTTTTGCTGGGCTCGGATGACGACACCTGCACGAAATCAAACTGGACATTAGCGGTGATGTCCTCTAACAAGCATCCGTAATGAAGCCACTCAAGCATCTCACCTCGAGGCATGGGGATTTTCGGCAACGTCTTCCGTTTGAAGACGACGTAGGGAGGGAGCTTCAAGCCGCCCGCCGTCACCGCCAGCATGACGGTGAGGCGTTCCTTCTCGTAGCAGGCGGAGCGCACGTGCACGGTACGCGCGCCTTTCATCTCCAGGGTGCGCTCGGCGGGCATTTCGAGGAACAGAGGAGTTTGATCCGCGTTCACGATGAGATTCGGGGGGTAGGAGTTGAGCACGTGCATTTGCCGCACGAATTCTCAGAACGCTTCGCATTTCTTCGCGCAATCTGCGGCACAACGGTGAAGACATTAGTCAATGGCTGCTATAGAACACTAGACAGCTAGCGGGGTGCGAAACAATCCTTACCTGCAGTAAGCTTCTGGCCGATCTTCGTTTTCACGCGCCTCGCCAAGGACCAGCGCTTGCGGAACCTCTTCGTCCAGCGCTGGGACGAGCGCCACTTCTCTCCAGGGTGGCGATGCTTCATGTAGCTCGTCGCCCACTTCTGCAGCAAGCTGATGGAGACCGGAAGTCCTTTCCCGCGATGCGAAAGAAACTTCCGGTAGACTGCTGTTTCCATCATCGGCCACTTGGGCTTTCGCCCTGCACCACTGAGGTGTTGGCGACACCCAGCCGCCATGTCAAGGCGCTCCTTGAAGCTGTGCCATTCGCGGATTTGCTTCGGCTGCACATTCGCGAGCCTCGCCAACACCCGCACGGGCAAATCGGGCTGGGCGTCTAGCATCGCCAGCTAGTACAGCTTCTCCTTAACGCTGAAGGCGCGACGCGCCTTCTTCGTTACTTTGCGTCGAGGCGACGGGGGCTCTGCATCCTGTACGCGCTTCTTCTGCCCCTGTGGTCTTATGGCTTGCGGAAATACAGGAACCTTGACCTGCGGCAACGGACGGGCCGGGCTATCGTCGCTTGAAGATGCAAACGGCGTTGGCATGACGGGCCTAGGCGACGGCCTAGGCATAGGAGCCTTGCGTTCGACACGGCGGCGGCGACGGGGAGCCGAGGTCCCGGTATCGGATGAGGTTACCATGGTGGAAGACTAACGACTAACATGTAGCATCCTCTAACACTCACCAAGTTATGCCCGCCCTGAGAGCCTGCCGAGCACAGCAAGGCCTCGTGCCTCACGGAAAGGTCTAGAGCAGCGTGAACGTGAAACGCAACCTCGTAAGGAGGACGTGCCAGGGTTTGAGGCAGCAAGGCATGTATGAGGTGTGAAGGACGAGCCTAGCAAGGCATTGGCGCGCAGCGTCTGGCAAGTTTGTGATGTGGTAACCTCGTTTTGGGACCAATAGGAGAAGGCCTCCAGCGTGGTTGCTGGTTGACGTGCCATTGATGGTCTGGGAGTTCATTTCGCGTATTTTTTACTGAATATTGAAAACGGAGCACATACTGTTCACAAGTATATAGCTGACATTATGATAAGACCCGGGTCTTATAAATTGTTACCAACTGTTAAGACCCCCCCCAAGATTTGGGGTGGGATTCTTATAATACCCCCGGGTCTTATATCCGGGGTATTACGGGTAGAACCAATGGTCGTTCATCATGGACATACCGATGCTCAGTTCCATGATATCAGCATCACCACCCGACGAACCATCGTAATCAAACTCGTTATAACGATAAACTTCATCCCAAGAATCATCCCCGCGATAGGTTGGGCGCGGTGATTTGTACACTCCGAACAAGTGACCCTGTCATGTGACATACGAAGAGGTTATGCACTGCAAACAGAGAGAGTGGCGGAAGGCACCACGAGCAAAAATCACATTAGCAGAACGTGTGAGCTGTTTAATTGATGGTCGCGGAGAAACCTGGGTGCAGATGAAGCAGCACACCTCGCCCTCATGGCAACCCAACGCAAAGTGAGTCGTCGGATTCAACACAGCAGTGGCGTTCCATGCATGCCAGCAACGTCCACGCAGCATGGCACATGGTTAATGGTGGCAGAAAGGAAAGGCTTGTGCTCAACATTTATTCTCAAATACCCGACCGACGCTCCATTCCAGTAGCACATGGAAACATCACAATGACACGATGGGATAGCATAGCATGGCATGATACAACTCCTAACCACATCACCTCATAATGGCAGAAGGGGCACGTGCTCAGAGAAAAGGGCTGGCCTTGGAGCAGCCAGTGGAAGCTGCAGACAGGCAATGGGGGAGAGGGATGAGAAGCATCATGCAGCTAGGTTTTGAATGTGCGGCCTACGCCGTGGTTTAGAGGAACATGCGTGCAGATCGTAAATGTAAGCATGAAGCTGGTGCTACCCTGTGGACCATCCTACTATTTGCCCATGCTCTCTCAAGTACCCACCCCTGCCAGCCACCCATACACCGCTGAGCCATACCGTGAGTGCTTGAACCCAGCGACCGCCCCTCGCAGCACACAACAAGGCTCTCCCGCAACAGAGTGCTCCCACCAACACCCCTTTGTTGGCATCAACACTGCCGCACGCTCCTTCACCCCTTCCCCCACTCCTCCCTCCCTTTCTCCCCCCTCCTCTCTCTTTCCAACCCCAAGCGAGGGGCATGCGAAGGGAGTGGAGGCGGGAAAAGTTGTGGGGTCAGGGGTGCGCGGACGACAAAGTGATGGGAAAGAGGAAGGGGCAGGGAGGAAGCATTTGGAGAGAAAGAGTTCAGAGGCGAGATCGCAGCAGAGGTTCCATCATCGATCGTCGTCAACATGAGGACCGATGGACAGAGGAGAGGCAGCAGCAGGCGCGGCGGCATGCGGGGTGGGCGTGGTGGCACTCAGAGCAACGGCTGCACCACCAGCAGTTGGCAAACCTTCCGCGCCCTTGCAACAGACACTCGATGTGCTGCTTGCGCTGCCACTTTCGCCGGCTTCCGCTCCACCTTCTTTCCCGGCACTGCCACTCGCTGCACGCGGCACGCCGCTCTCCTCCACTGCGTCACTGTCACCCTCCACCTTACACCAGCGTTCCGTCTCCAAGCGCAACCACGAACCAATTTGCAGCGCCGCGTCGACTCGGAGCGCGATGGTGCAGGCGTGCGCCACGCCCGAGCATGCGCTCATGCACCGCGCCAGGCTACTCGCCGCGTTCTGCGGGGCGTCGGTGCTGCCCGCCTCGCGCACCAGGCGCTCCACCGCCGCCGCTACCGCCGCCAACTCGCTCTCTTTGGCAAGGGTGGCGCGCGAAAGGCAACAACGCGGCCACAGCTCCGAGCGGGCGACAAGAGCGAAGGCGCGAGAGACGGAAGTGAGTTGGGCGATGGTGGTAAGAACATCGCCAGTGGCGTCCGCCACGCGGAACAACACCGGGCCGTCTAATGCCTCCATGCTTGAGCGATTAATCTGACAGAATATTACCGGCGCTAATTAGTAAGTTGGGAAGCACCTATCGTATAAATGAAACCCACCCAATCCAATCTGGGCGTCTATGCTCTCTGCGTGCTCTGGCAGGTCCTAGAAGTCTACTATGCCGCGTAGAGGCTTGGATCATGCTTTCTGCACCACTCCGAACCATTACTCACCCGACACTTTGGAATGGTCTGCTTGCTGCACCACTTCAAACGCCCTCACCCGACTGGAAAAATGGGCTTGAGAGCAAGAAATGCGAACCTGTTTGGGGGTGGGGAGATGCATGATGCGCACTTGTCAATCGCATGATACTCGAATCCACACACCCTATACTACAACATGTTGTATCATGTTAGGAGGAATTTGACAAATGGTTTTGTTGGCAGATTCTTTCAGATTATGACTGACACAATGGACATTGTTCTTTACTAATTTCGATACACTCCCACTCCAATAAGGGCCCATATGATGTCAACATGAGAATGCCTCGGAATCCAAATAAGTGGCCATAGAATTGTAACTCAAATAACTCCTCTCCAATCTCTAGACCAAATATATTATGTGTTGGAATACGCGAACGGTTACAACATTCTTGAAGTTCACCATAGCATGACATCTCACAACGAGACTGTGCGTATAGTACAATCTTGCTAGCTCATATAGAGCGTGCACTGATTGCCTGGTCAAAAGTCGAAAGTCAACCGTCACGAATGTTGACCATCCTGGACTGGAGTCGCAAGTATCACCACAGGTTACGTGCTGCAACAACGTAACCGTAAAGGTATCGCAATAGTTATTGCAACTGCAAACGTGCTTTCAACGATAACAACCGCCGACGCAAGCGTCGATGAGCAGCTTATTGCGCGCATCAGCGGCCTTGACAGCTATGAAGCTATGAGCATCGACGGATCAAGCTACGTAGAGTAATCGTAGGCTTCCCCTTCCTGATGAAAATTGGCAAGTCAATTCCAAAAGGTCCTTCACCTTTGACAACCGTCAAGCTTCAGCACCTACTCAAAACCAACAACAAGCACATTCCGAAGTATTAGCGTCTCAGCAGAACACGTTCATCGCGTCATCAAAATTGAGAACATTGACACCCTTTCCACTGCAAAGATTTCTATAATTGTAGCTTTGGATTCCACTTCCGCAACTGACGCAAATCAGGATGTACTACGACAGTACTCTCACATTCCCAACTGAAGGAACTGGCAAGGAGAATACATTCTTCTACAACGAGTCTCTCCTCGAATACACCATCCTCATCCGCAACTTGTTACCTACTGAGCAGCTTGGCATCCGCCCTTTCAAGAACCATTGGGCTCCCACACAATCGTCTTGGGAGTACCTTCAAAACATGTACATGGCAACATGGCATTATGAGTCCAATACTCAACCAACTCACGATGTCAAAAGTTAGAACGAGGAATGGATTAACTAGCAAACAAGTGGGTACAAGTAGGAAAACCTAAAAGTGCTGTACCCCATATTGTCTACCCCGCTACAGCCTACACAGACCATAGCATATAAGTTTGGCACACCCCCATAGGCAAAGTGGGGGAGAACAAGAGGTCACAAGACCAGTCAAGAAGAGCAAAGCAAGCTCAGGGTGGATCACGACGTCACCACACATTCCGAGCACAAGCAAGCGGCCACAAGGCCAATTCACACGAAGAATTCTATAAAGTAGAACAAGCAAGACAGTGATCACAACCTAGCAAGTGTAAGCATGCAGGTATATATATAGAGATCACAGTACAAGCAAAGTCAAGAAGTGAGCAAGTGAGGCCAAGTGGGGACAAGGCCTAGAACAGTACAGAACCGCTGATGATCACAAGGCTGAAGTGCCTTGGTGAAGATATCAGCCGTGTTGGCCTGAGAGGCCACGTAAACAAGACGAAGCTGACCACGCTGCTGCAACTCTCGAGCAAAAAAGTAGCGAAGAGCGATGTGCTTCGTTCTGTGCTCCAGTCTCTGCTCGCGACACATGGCAAGCACTGCCTTGTTGTCGACGTACAGGACTGGAGGAGAACGAGGCGCCACGCCCAGGTCGGTCAGCAGGTAGGTGAGCCAGCGTAGCTCCTGTGCAACCATGGCCCCCGCGTAGATCTCAGCCTCACAGCTGGAGCTGAGAACAGAAGACGAGCGGGTAGACCGCCACGAGACAGAACCGGAGCCAAGGCTGAATGTGTAACCCTGTGACGACCGCTGCGTAGCCAAGTCGTCAACCCAAGAAGCGTCTGCGTGACCAGTGAGAACAATTGGAACCCGTCCCCCAAGCACGAGCCTCATGCCCGACGTACTGCACAAGTAGTGCATCACCCTCTTAGCTGCCTTCCAGTGCTCTGGTCGGTGTCTCCCGGGCGCAACGTAGCGTGCCAGGATGCTAAGAGGGTAAGCAAGGTCAGGACGAGTGCAGGTCATCAGGTACATGAGGCAGCCCACAAGCTCTGAATACGGGCCACTCGGCTCTACGGACTCATCCGAAGGCAGAGCTGAGAGCGAGTGACCGGTAGGCAGAGGAGTGGCCTGTGGCAAGGAGTACTGGAAGTCGAAGCGCTGAAGGACCTGCTGCACCATGTGTGACTGAGTCAGGGTGATGAAGCGGCGTGCTTTGTCCCGAGTGATCTGCAAGGCCGCAGCAGACGCAGTACCAGAGAGAGCAGACTCACCAGCACCTGGAGTAGTAGACTCACTAGCGCCTAGAGCAGCAGTCTCACCGGCACCTGGAGCAGGAGATGCACCAGCACCTAGAGCAGCAGCCTCACCAGCACCTAGAGCAGCAGACTCTATACCTGGGTCAGGCGGCACACATAGGTAACAGGCACCCTCAGCACTAGTAGGCAATGCATACATGGCAGTGAGGATAGCATCATAGTCAAGAGCAAAGATATCTACTCTCTGTCTAAGCAGCTCCAGCCAGGAGGGGAGCTCAGTGTCGTCGCCAAACTCTGTACGCCAGGCGTCGCTCAGACAGGAGAAGCAGCGGGACTCTGTGTGACCAATCGTCCTGCAAGACTGACCAGCCCGAGCACCTATGTGAATGACGTACGGGCAGCGAGCAGTACTCCGTGACCCTCTACTCTGAGCGTACCACTCACAAAGCAGCTGGGGCGAAAGGATCTCGCGCGGACGCCGCTGCAGCTGCACCTGGCCACTACAAGAAGCTCCCGAACGACCCGCTCCAGGGCGACTCCCACCACGGCCACCCCTACAACCCCAACTAGCATACCACTCATGAAGGTGCTGGGGCGTGAGGGACTCACGAGGACGTCGCTGGAGCTGCACCTGGCCACCATGGCCACCCCTACAACCCCAACTAGCGTACCACTCACGAAGCAGCTGGGGCGTGAGGGACTCACGCGGACGTCGCTGGAGCTGCATCTGGCCACCGCCAGTAGCAGAAGAAGTAGCAGTGCAGCAGTAGTAGTAGTGACAGCTGGAACAGCAGCAGCAGCAGGGCAGAGCAGCGCGGCTCAGTAGGGCAGGGCGGCGCGGCTTGGCCGAGCGGCGCGACTCGGATGGGCGGCGCAGCTCAGTTGGCAGGCAGGCGCGGCAGCACGCTGGTAAGGCAGGCGCGTGGGCAGTGCGGGTAGGGCAGGTGCTCACCGGAGGCGGGTAGGGCAGATGCCACCGGCGGCGGTGGGCAGGCGCTCAACGGGTACGGGTAGGGCAGGTCCGGCGCTCGACGGGTGGCTGCAGGCGCTCGACGGGCGGCTGCAGCGGGGCCGCGATGGCGGCGACGACGGGGCCGCGACGACGGCTGCAGGCACGACGGCGGCTACGGCTGGGCAGGGCCGCGACGGCGGCAACGGCGGGGCAGGGCCGCGACAGAGACTACGGCGGGGCCGCGACGGCGGATGCAGACGCGACGGCGGCAGGGCAGGGCAGGGGCGGCCGCCCCAAGGGCGGGCGCGGGGTGGGGCAGGGCGCGGGCGGGCCGCAGATGAGGCAGGGCGCGGCGGCCAGGGGGCGCCGCGACGAGCAGGGACGGCGCCCAGGGGGCGCCGCGACGAGCAGGGGCGACGCCGCGCGGGTCCCGCAGGGGCGTCGCGACGAGCAGGAGCGGCGCCGCGCGGGTCCCACAGGGGCGTCGCGACGAGCATTGACGACGCCCGGGTCCCGCAGGGGCGTCGCGACGAGCAGGAGCGGCACCGAGCGGGTCCCGCAGAGGCGTCGCGACGAGCAGGGGCGACGCCCGGGTCCCGCAGGGGCGTCGCGGGGTCCAGGGGCGGCGTCGCGGGGTCTAGGGGCGGCGTCGCGGGGTCCAGGGGCAGCGCCGCGGGGTCCAGGGGCGACTTCGCGGGGTCCAGGGGCAGCGTCGAGGGGTCCAGGGGCAGTGCCGTGGGGTCCAGGGGCAGCGCCGCGGGGTCCAGGGGCAGCGCCGCGGGGTCCAGGGGCGGCTTCGCGGGTGCAGGGCAGGCCCGCGCACGGCCTGCAGGGCAGGGCGACGGGCAGGCGCTCGAGGGCGCGGGTAGGTCAGGCGCTCGAGGGCGCAGGCAGGGCAGGCGCTCGAGGGCGCGGGTAGGCAGGCGCAAGGCGCGTGACGGGGCAGGCAGGCACGGCAGTGCGCTTCGGGCAGGGCAGAAAAAAAAGTTCGTGGTGGGCCTAAAAAAAAACGTTCCCACTAGGGAACCTGCTCTGAAACCATGTCAAAAGTTAGAACGAGGAATGGATTAACTAGCAAACAGGTGGGTACAAGTAGGAAAACCTAAAAGTGTTGTACCCCATATTGTCTACCTCGCTACAGCCTACACAGACCATAGCATATAAGTTTGACACACGTTAGTAAAAAATACTCAAGGAGAAAAGGCAGAACCATATACCACTCGCTCCAGGAATTTGCGGGATCAGTTCAAGAAATGCGGAGGCAACATCCTTGACGACATGTTCGTCACCATAGTCCTCTCTGAACTAGGACCAGAATGGCACCAATGCAAGTCCCTGCTTCGTGCGAAAGGCGCCATCTCCGAAGGGTC